AAAACGACGCTAAACGGGTTAACAGTCGTTACGTACAATCTTCTGTGAAATATCTTTGAACATACGATTACGTTTTCCTCGTGCTCGAACTCTGTGCCAAGAAGAGAACTCGAAGAATTCATCTGTGAGCGTTCACGGTTTCGTGATCGACGAATTCGGTATTGTTTCATCTTTTTCCATGCAGAGGGAGGACGCAAGAGTAACAGCACAGGGGTGAAGAATAGAATTAACGAGGGCGAAACGGTCGTTATGCACCATGGATTTTCGAAACTATTTTCACCGGCTAACAAACGCTCTGTCAGTTTCTGCTCTGTAGCTAACGGCGAAAATCGACGATCGCTATGTACATATCTCTCTCTCTCTCTCCCCCTGTCTGTACAAGAAAGCTTTCGAGGGCTGGGCTTGGATCCAACAACAACCGCCGTATTTATGGTGCCTGGCCGTCTTAACCCACTGAGGGAACCGAATGCATGTATCTCTGTGGAAAGCGGAGAGTCGAAGTTGAGAGGTTACGCGGGGTCAGGTTGCACGGGTGGATGCAGCACTGGAAATTCATCAGATCGAGCGTATTAGCGATATCTGAAAGTCAACGCGATTATTTTTCACAGTAGACCGATATTTTCGATCCTCTCTATCCTCGATCTTCACGGAGGAATCTTTCTTGTACGCGTGTCCTAGTAACACGAATACCAACGACGTTGCAACGTCGAAAATACTACGTGTTCGTGGAAGGATGACACGGTGAGCGAGAGTGAAAAAAAATCGAGTTTCGAATCCGGTGCACAGGATCACTGTGATAATAGCGTGCAGACGATAGCTCGAACGGAAACGAGGTAGAGGCTGTGATAAGTGGGGCTCGGTCCTCTAATAAATGCCGCTTACGTATCTAATCTGGCATTCCCCGGGCACTGTGTAGTCAGGCATCGTCTACAAAACAGCTTTTAACGAACGCGCAGAATCCATGAATCACAGTACCAGAGACAGAACCCGTCCGTCTCTCTTAACACGGAACGCTCGTCGACTCGCGTTCGCCCGATTATTCATTTGCTGGTTCGACGTGAAAGTCGACGAAACAAAACGCGAGAAATCACGGGGAACGCGGTTCCCGAGGTGATTTGGTTATACAGTGTTTGTGCACGCACGGGTACGCGCGTCTTCGACGGCTGAATCGAGGAAACGGCGTTTGGCGTGATTTCTGCTGGTATTTTTAGAAGAACAAGTGTTCCGTTGCTGTACGTAAATTTCTCGTGATTTATCGCGTACTGAAGTAATCGTTGTACCTGTGACGTTGAGACAACAAGTGTTGTTCGAAAGTGATACTACTAGTCGAGTTTTGGCTCGAAGTACGGCACGTGTAATCGACGCGAGAATTTACAATCGCTGAAATGGTAGGTAATGGTTGACGATGCCAATGCTAGACTGTTTGGTTCCGCTAATAAGGGTTTGTAAATACGTTGTAGTGGAAAGAGGAGAGGTGACAAAGATCCTTGGCCGAAGTAGTAGAACGAATTAACATTGGTATAATTCCAAGCATAGCGTGTCATCTCCTTAGCGAAAAAGAAGGATGATCTAATCTATAGGTTAGTCTATATAAAGCAGTCGCTCCTAAAAGTCTCCGCGCGATGATCGTAATCCCTGTCGTTTCGTTCAAGGATATTCCGTAGGAAAATGGCACGCGAGTCTTTGGATCGTTGAGTGTGGAAGGTGAAATGGGAAAAGGCAAGGGAAACGGCGTCGCGACGCCACCGAGCAGTGCTGCCACGACGCGAAGCGGTCGCCGGCCGTGATAACGCGTCGCCGGCAGTCGAGCCGAGCGCGCTCGGTACTACTCGGTTGTGTTCGGGCCTGCTCGCGTACAGTTATGGCAAGGGAACGTCAGTCACTCTTCGGCGCTCGCGCGGAAGAGTCTGTACGCATTAGCGGTTGGGGATATCGTCGCTCCTTAGCGGAGTGTTAAATATCTCGTAGGTGTTTCATCGTCATCCATCCCCAGCGCGGTGTATCTAGCTCGCGATCGTAGTGACCGGCGCGATTGGAAACGGTGACAGTACGACATCAGGTCTGCGAGTGTCGCGGGAAAAAAGCCGGTAAGGTGACGGCGGAGCCGCGTGTGTTTCTCCTCACCCGCTGTGTACACTAACGTAAACGAGTTGTCGGAAGCGAAAAGAACGCAAGAGGGAAAGATCCGAGGGAAGATCGAACGACAACGGTGCGAATCGAGCTACAATTTCGGTCTCGCTGCACAGGGGAGATAGAAAGAGAGTGAGAGAGACGCGACGGAGGAAAGAGTATCGGTGGCAACACACTGTGGAGAAAGATCGGAACGAACGTTAGCGAGTGAAGGAGGAGAAGGAGAGAAAGAACGAAAGAAAGAGAGAGATAGTGCGAATATAGAGCAAGAATACGAATGAATCGAACAGATACCGGGTCGCGAGTCGTGCCGGCGTTTTGACGTTTCGTCTTTCGTAGTTGCAAACGGTTTCTCTCGGTTGTCAAGTTCCACGTATGATGGATGCTGTCGCGCGTGTCTCGTGTACGCGACGCTATCAAGAACAGACAGAGCGTCGATCCGTGCAAGCAACGGCGTTGCAGTGAAGTCCGTTTCTTGCCAACCTCCCCAAACGTTAGCGAGATCGTGCAGTGTGCGTCGCGTGTCGCTTGCTTTTTTCCCTAACGATTCTACTACTCTCGGCCCTCTCTGAATACACACCGCTGCGGTGGCCGTGGCAGCAACAGTATAAACGCCGGTAGTGCGCGGCCAGATATTCCTCTCTCGCTCTCTCTGACACGAGTCGTATATATATACGAGCCAACACAGGGCTTCGTGGTGTGTTTGTGTGCGCGCGCGGAAAAAGGAAGCGGTTAGCCGGTCCCTCTCTCGTTCTCTACGGAGCAGAGTCGCTTGTGGTGAACCTCTCTTCTCGCTCCGTATCGGTCTCTGTCGGTCATCCTACTACGGTGACGTCGTAACCGTCGGTGCTTCTTCGATGATAAGCACGTGTGCGTGCCACTACCTGCTGCGTGTACGTGCGTGCGTTAGAGTCGCGAGCCACTTCGTATCGGCGTGCAGTTAGTGACCGGGCTGCGTTACCATCTAAGTCCACGGGCTTAGAGTATCACCGAGTAAATCTTACTACCGCGGAGTTTTAGTTGGTTTGTTCTGATTCTGCTTGTTGGTTTATTTGCTTCGAAGAGTCATTCGGTTCGTTTCTTATTTTTGTGACGAAGCCAGTTACGAACGGATCACCGGCGTAACCATGGATATCCTGCCGAGTGGGAACATATTTAGGGAGTTGCAGGACATACACGACACCGGATACTTTTCGGCCCAGCCGTCGCTCGAGGATCATTGGCAACAGGTAAGAATGCGTTTCATTTTTTTTTTTCTCTCTCTGTTCGAGACTTCTCTTCGTCGAGTAAGTAAGTTCGTCGCGTCGTCGTCGTGTCGCGTACAGACGTGTGCGTGCGTGCGTGTGTGTACTACGTTCCTCCATGTTGTACGGTAAAAATCTAGTAAACACGTCTGAACACGTCTCGCGTTACATCCCGCGTACGAGGAAGTTCAAACGGCGGCCGTGAATTTCGAACGCGAAAAGGCGCTCGTAACCTCGACCGCCATATTTGAATTTCTAACGGTCAACGTAGTAATGCGTGTCGCCTGTCCATCGAGTTCACCGACGCGCACCAACTAAATTATCCACACGCGTTTGCGCTGTTTCTCTTGTGTAAAATTTCGACGCTCTCTTTCCAAGTGTATGTTCCATTTACCCGTTAGAACGGTGATCTTTTCGTGGAAAAATTCGAACGTACCAGACGATCGTCTCGCGGTCGGAAAGTTCGGTTTTTCTCGCGAATTTTTCGGTCAGACACCGTTTAAATCGATTATCGATATGCAACGGGCTATTATGACGGCACGACCTTGAGCCAGAGGTATTAGATCGGTGTGTACGTTCAGTGACGCGGCCGAGCGTACTATAGGCGGCGCGTCCTGTTTGTTTACGAGTGTGCAATGACCTTCCAGTGGCCGGGGAACGGCAGAAGGAACGTACTTGTTCTCCATTCAATATCTCAGCCGGTGTACAACAGTTTCCTCGCTTCGTTAAAATAGTACGAGTGACGTCACTGGTAGCGCCGCGAGCCACCGTGCTATCCTGCCTTAACGGTTCGTTACCGCCGTGATTCCCTGGAATTTCTAATCTTTTTTATCCATCTCATGTTAAATCGCTGCCATTTCTTGCTAATTTCAGTCTTTGTACAGGGTGTTTCAAAATTACGCGAGACGAAATTTCAAAGTTTCGAAATATCTTCTATCTCGTTGTCAGAAAAATCCACAGATAAATATATCCTGACACTTTTTCCGCCAGAAACGAACGTTCCTACGGTATTTCCTGAATTTCTAAGATTCCTACGAGAATCGAGTAATTTTTTCATCCCGGTCAATCAACGTTCCCGACATTCTCGGAATATTCATCAGTTGACTAAGTTGCACCGAGTCAATTAACACGAAAATGTTTAAATAGAAAGTATCTACTTACCTTCAGCCAAATTGAACGCTACATAGTTTCCAACGATACTTTCGTAACGCATCTTCCATCGTAATTACATATTAACAACGTCTGTGTTGCACGCGTGTAAAGTCCGAGGTTCACTTAAATCTGTCTAATTCAATCCATTTATAATTAAACCTAGTATTACATATATAAATACCTGTTAATAATTAAACGATCGAGCAGAGGCGAGACGCGAGGTGTATAATTACCGACGGGAACAGAGATCGGCAATTAGAGGTTTATCATCGGGGATAACAATCGCGGAGGATCGTGACAAATAATTCAACGAAAGTTCGTGCAAGTCTCTCTGTCGTAAAATCACCATTTTCAATCACGACTGTTCTCTCTCCCAATAATTCAACGAAAGTTCGTGCAAGTCTCTCTGTCGTAAAATCACCATTTTCAATCACGACTGTACTCTCTCTCTCTCTCCCGTGTTCTATAGGTCGATCGTTTACGTAATACGTTTTAATTATCGTCCCTTTAATTACCGACCGAGTATCTGACGGTAAGGTAGTAGCGGGCGGTTGGAAATTTATGGCGAGGAAATCTCGGTTTGTCGCTTTGGCACTCGACATTTTGACCTGCGCAACATTGTTGTGCCCGAGGTTTAGTTTGGCGCGGTGCCTAATTGAACGTCTCGAAGGGGTTCCAGGGAGGGAAAACTGGCCCCGGCCACTTTGCTCGCTTTCTCTCCTCTTTCTCGTTAATTGCCCGGCACGATCGAGTGTTTTTATTATCGGCCAAGAAGTTGTACGTCACGCGTTCTCTAGCCCCATGCCGCAGAGGTAATAACTGTTCTTATTCGAGTAGATCGTCCGCTCGCGCGACCGATTTTCTTCTCTCTTCTATCGCGAGGTCCTCGTAACAGCAGCCTGCCAGCCAGCCAGCAACCCGTCGTTGTCCTGCTCAATTACGATCTTTCTGATTGCATTAATTTACCTCGTGGCTCGTCGTTCCTCTTACCGCGACTTTATTCGCCTCGCAGCTGGAAATCGAATTTGTCGGAACCGGCCACTATTTTAAATGGAATTTCTCCGGCTTTCTACGCTCCGCGGGATCTCTCGTGTTTGGAGAGTAAGCCGAACGTCCCTGGCCAAAGAAAGAAACTACCCGTCTATTTAAACACGGTTTTACACAGCATAGGATAGACTTTGTCTCTGTTGGGTTGTATTTTCACGTTTGACAATAATCGTGGTAGCCTGGCTTCACGGTTATTTCACTTCGGCTATTTTATCGAACGGTCCTGAGGATCGTCTTTTACGTATGCATGTAGGTTAGCTGGTCTTATTACCAGTTGATCTATCATTGTACGATCGCATTGTGTTTGCGTTACGTAAAAGTCGAATTGCGATACCTCTTCGTGTCGTGCAAACTACTCCGGTGAGTTAAACCCTTTGCGCTCCTGTGTCGAGTAGCAGTCGACGTAAGAATTGTTGCTTTGTCATGTTATATAATGATGAATTATGAATTATAAATGATAAACCATTTTCCTGTGCATTAATATTGTACTGAAAGTTAGTATTTTGTAACTGCTATTACTCTGAACTATTGAAATAAAAGGAAATTATATGGTACTGCCCGAGAGTGACCCAATGAGTGTGGACTAAGTGGACTATTTGGACCGCAAAGGGTTAACCTTTCGTTTAACTAAACATTTCGGGTATTCGAGTCAAGAAGGACCCAAAGACTTAAAGCGCTTGGGTCAAAAAGGACCCCAAGGCAAAGCGCTTGAGTCAAAAAGACTCAAAGACTTGAAGCGCTTGGGCCCAAAAAATCAAAGACTTTAAGCGCTCGAGTAAAAAGAAACCTAAAGGCTTGAAGCGCTTGAGTCAGAAAAGACCCAAAGACTTAAAGCGCCTGAGTCAAAAACGACCCAAAGTTTGAAAGCGCTCGAGTCAAAAGGATCCAAAGACTTGAAGCGTTTACGTCAAAAAGGACCCAAAGACTGAAAGCGCTTGGGTCAAAAAAGACCCAAAGTCTTAAAGCGCTCGGGCCGAAGAAAACCAAAGACTTGAAGCGCTTGAGTAGAAAAAGATCTGTAAAACGCTTGAGTCAAAAAAGACCCAAGGACCTTACGTGCAACAATTTTCATAATATTTACATATTATCGTATGCAACGTTTATTAAGGGATTACATTTCGTCGATAACAGCAAAGGTAATCGAAAAAATTAGAGCGCAACGGCGGGTCGAAAAAGACCCGAACACCGCACCAGGGTTAATACTCGGTTGACGGTAGGAGGTTCGTGGAAAGTTAACACTATTTTTACGCCACGTTTCGGGCACCGTTTTCACGTGGGTACATGCTGATGTACATCGACAGCGTCATCCGATAGGCGAACAGATGGTTGGGTCACATCGACAACGCGACAGCGTTGGTCGCGTGACCGATAATGCGATTCGACAGGTGCTCTGTTGTATATTCTTGTATTCGGAACTTTACACGATCCAGTTTCGCCAGCAATTATCGTCGTCGGCAAGGGTACGAGGCTTTGATGCGCGGCGCCGTCAGAACCGATGTAACTCGGCTGACTTTCGGCGTGAACTAACATAGAGAGAGAGAGAGACGAAGGAATTTCGCGAGATCGCGTACCATTACGTCGAACGATACACGTTTGCGTGAAAATTCGATCGTGTCGCACCACGAAACAACTCTCTCACTATACTTACAATATTCAGCTAATAGGTATACGTATATACTTAGCTATTTTTCTGATTCGTTGAATTCGAGACTCCTTCTTAATTAACGCAAATGGGCCTGCAATTATAATAAATTGGCACGTAAAGATGCTCTTACGTGAACGCACGTCTCGGAGACGAGAGGTAGGTAGGGAAACGGTTGGTTTTTTTCCATCGTGAAATTATCAGAGATCGCGAATTGGAACGGTGGCGTGTATCGATCGCGAATTCAACGGCGTTTCGATTCTTCTCGCGTGAATTCTTCGAAACGGCGCATATTAACGCAGCTAGTTACGATAATTGGTGAGCACGTAATAACGAGTCGGAGAGAAGTACAAGAGGAAAGAAATAAAGAACGCCGCGTTAAAAATAGCGAGTGTAAAGTGGCGGGCGACCTTGCCGAAGTTTCCTTTCATCTAACACCTGATGCAATTACTGAAATACATCCTACGTATCGGGCACCGATGAATTATTCATTCCTGATACGCTAAGCGGATCCACAGGCCTCTAATATTCCCGTATCTCCCGGTGTACGTACGAGAACGCACCCGTTTCTCTCTTACCGTTCTCCGTGTCTCGTCTTCGTTCACGTGGATGCACGAGCGTGCTTGAAAATATTTTTTCCTAAATAATTCACCGGATTGAATAATTGATCGTACAACGGATCTAGCCCATCGCGGCGCGTATACATATTTTCGCCGCAATCGCGTGCCAGCCTGCTTTCTCGATTAATACGCGATACGATATTGTCGTTGCGTGTACTCCTACCTGTCAGCGAATTAAAAGTGTTTTTTTTTTTTTCCTATTTCGATGCTCCGAGCTTGATTTTCCATTCGATTCTTCAATTCAATCTCTTATTTCCCTTCTACACTTTGCCTTTCATTTCGCCAGGACGAACGACACTCGATCGATTTTCGACAAAATTTCGGCAGAAAAGAAATCAGCTGTTTTCTAAGGTTAGGTCAGGTCTTGCGACAGATTTGAATTTAACAGTGACGCGTGTGACACGCGGGCCACGGCGAAACTCTTTTCGCTCGCATGAATTATACTCGCTCGTGACAGCCACCACGGCGGCGGCATCGGTGGAGATATATATTTTTGTTTTCTCCTTATACACGAGTTGGCGCTT